GAATTTGAGTAATATGCGGAAAATTAACTGTTGGAAAAATTACGAGTATTCATATAGCATGGGATGCATATTCTTCTATAGCTTGATATAAAGCAGAACTGAGTTCGTGACTTAAATCTATATTTTTTTCGATGAAAGGTAGATACATGGAACCTCCACAAAAATTATAGACTAGGTAAAAAGCAAGTTAAAGTAATGAATAAAACGAGTCTGAGCATTCTGTAGCCTTATATTAATAAGCGCTACACAGGTCACAGCTGTTGCTCGAAGAACATCCCAGAGAGGGACCTCCTAGGGGTAAATACAGTGCTGACCATAATTGTAAATACATTCGAAAAGTGGCGTATCTCATTTAGTTGTGAATGTATAGGTCTAGAATGAATGTGATCTCAATATATTGGGTAGATCAAAAAACCTGCCAAATTTTTTTTAAACCTTTATAGTTTTGCATGAATAAAAGGATTGAGAAGATGAACAAGTAGCTGTAAAGCAACAAAAATCACTGGTAATAACATCAAAAGTTCTCAAAGACTTTCGCCCTTTTCAACTTAGATTTAGAGATATAGAGGTTACGTTGTTTTGGCTACCATCAATGCTGGAGGTATGGTTTAATTTAAGGTGCTGGGTTAACGGCGGCATAGCAGGACTCTTCACAGCCTTGCCGCTTTCTCCTGGAGCGAGTACTTGAGCTTCCTGTGTGGAACCACGCCTTTCAAACGCTAGACTCTGGTTTCGCCCATTGCTCCGCCTACTGCTTGTCTTCAGACTAATCTGCGCAAGCCCAATGAATGGACATTGGTCTTGAATTTGACACATGAATTTGGAAAATTCAAGACCAACAAAGAGGAAGAGCATCAACGTGGTTTCTTAATGATATCGCATTTGATTTAGAATGAAGTGATGATGAAAGGAGGAATAACCTTACGCAGTCACATACACTTAAACACTCTTTATTCTGTATGTGAGCTACATCTCTATTTGAATACATTGGCTTCAATGTGTCACACAGAGATGTTTATGACTTACAGCTCGAAGTAGGGGAAAACTAAATGAGACATGATCCCATATTGGTGTCTAAGTTTGATTTCTATGTCCATTCGCTGTGCTTGCACAGCCTAGCCTGAGAAGGCATTTCCGGAGCAATGGGCGGAGCTAGAGCCTAGCTTTCGGAGGTGTTGATTTCCTCGAGAATCCCTAATCACTCGCTCCGGGAAAAA